AAGTTAAAATTATATATTTACGTCAATATCTAATAGTCAAAATATGAGATCGTCTCAACTATATAAAATGTACTATATACATTCACACATAAAAATAATTCTACGTACAACACAATATTATACTAATTAATTCAAGTAAATACAAGATCATCTACATTATATATTATAGAAAAAAAACATAAGCTTATATTTTTTACAAGCCTGATACACACCCGACATTTATCATGCCATTAGCGAATTACGCCTATCATTTAAATAAAAAACGATAATGCATATATACTTTTTTATATTATTCTACGTGTTAATATAGACTTTAAAAATTGAWTATACACTCACTCCAAGCCAATTGCACCTTAGCCGTTACAGTCTGCATGTCGGTAACTGAAATTATTTTTGAAATTATATTTTCAGCTACATTCAGCCGTTTCCATTCAATCATATTAATATATTTTATACAAATTATTATTATTTTCTTTTTAATTACGGTTTAAAGTTTTTTGTTCTTGGGTAAAAAAAGTAGTCAAACTATTGGGGGATGAATGATGATGAATATGTCAAACATGAATAATGCGCATAGAGCACGCAATAAGGATAATCGCGTGTTCTAATAAGGTGAGCGAATAGTTGAGTAATTAATATAACTTAGAGTAACTTCGAACTATTATAGTGTATGAAACTCGCGGAAACCACTTAAATTGTGGTGTACCTCAACTTAATTGTATGTATGTCAATTCAATTCAATTTAAAAAAAAAATCAATAATACARCGTCAATAAATAAAAAATGTATTTTCTTTTAATCTAAGTTCGCAATATGCTATCTGCTATCACTATACCTATACCAGCATATTAAATAAAAAGTTAATATAATTCTAGTCGTTCATAAATAGGACTCATAATAATATTTTTAATACATACAAAAATGTCAATCAATYGAAAATATGTAGAGAAAAATTAGAAAATATTATTATACATAATACACAATTTATTAATATACCTAAATAAATATATAAATAATAATATTAACTATAAATTGAAAATTGAAAATTTAAGAATAAACAAATTTATATTTAAAATATTAAGCTCAAAGTATGCATGCGACGGAAAAAATATAATTATTGCTATTATAATACATAAAATAGCATGTACAATTGTAGACCAATTAAAATAATTATTTCATGTCCGTAGTCAAAACTGGAAGTATATACAGGTAGGTACACATAACATTAACATTATACCAACTAGGAATTAATATTTAGTTGCCTACCTAAATTATAAAATGTAATATGTTTAAAATACAAAAAATATTATGTATACTCTATTAGGTATTATAATATACTTAATACATGGGCACGTTTATGTATAATCAAATTTATTCAAGTATACATTTCCTCCTGAAATGATTAAAATTTGTGCGTCCGTCATTGGTTAATAAGAAAGTAACTGAAATACTGATTAATAATTTAGCATGTGAATGAATTTAAAGACATTTTAAAATATTTTACTCGAAGAAAAATAATAATTAATATGATCAAAAAACAATTACCCATTGATTTTCTTTAGATTTTAATTTCCATTACGAATATTATAATTTACTTTTACTGAATAGTGGGAAATGGTCGGATATTAATGCATTATAAATTGTAGAAAAGTAATAATTAATACCTATACCATATTTTTCCTAATTTAACTATATACACAAACAGAACAAAAATGTATTATTTTAATTATAATTATTAGTACCGATACTCAAAACTTTTGATGTATATAATGACATCGATATTTAATTTCAGGTTGATGAATAAAACTAACCGGAAATACTTGATATTTATAAAGTTTAGAACATCAAAAATCAAAGTCAATCGTGTCAAAGAAAACAGAAAACTACGTAAAAAAATATAATGAACCAGAGTTGAACGATTAAAAGTTTAAACGTTATCACAACATCAATAAATAACTATCGATGGAGTAAGGTTTGTGAAATAAAATGCATAAAAGAGTGTATTTTTCGAACCGATGTACAATGTGGCTAGGTAAGCGAATGTGTAAAACAAATAGCTACCGAGTACGCAGTGGCAAATGCTAAATTTGGAAAACACATCCAGCAAGGTTGACGACCGAAGGTAGTACATATAAATAGGATCTCCAGGATTCGTTTCGTCTGGAAGTCGTACGTTAAGCCTACGTAAATAATTGTAGGTGTCCAACTTGTAATATTCTGTAATACTAAAGTGAAAGACTACTACTACGAGTGGAGAATGTTCCACAACACAAACGTAAAAAAAGATTWAAAAAATTCTGTATAGAATATTTTACAGATCCAAAACTTATCTCGACTTAGTACACCGCCAAAAGAAATCTCAAGAACAGACTTACTTATGGAAATAACTCTKTCGCACGTAAAACCATATTATCAAAAATCATCTATCCGATAATAACTACACGCATTGGCTCGATTTGCCTACACTGTATATTAATTTACGATATGTAATGAAACGATGGTAATTTGTACAAAAATACGAAGTATACATGTCAACGAGAATGGAAAAAATTAAATAATTTATGTACTTATAACTACCACGCAGCGACTAGATACACACGACATACTTGGCCGACGTTTGATTTCAAACACAACGGCAACCACGTCGTTGCAGTCGTTGCAGCTGTGTGAACACACTCCTCTYGGAACGCAGCTCTCGAGGGGTGACCACGAGGGTCAATCGATATATGTTTACGGGCAGTGTTACCACATACCGGGGGTCCTTATTCGAAATCGGGTACACACAAGTCTGAATCATCTGTCTAGATAATTAAACAATATTATAATTTTTAAGATTTGTTTGGTTTAAAAATTACATTATTTAMAAATCCACCAATACATTTTTGTAAGAAATTATTGAAAATGCCCAATTCAACAAGACATAAAACTGTTATACTAGATAAAAAGTAGAATAGTTCTCTAATTGTTTGCGTTTTTTTAAACATGAAAAACATTTTTTTTCTCATTTAAAATGGAATTATTTTTCAGAATATTTTAACACTGAAAACGATTTTAAAATAAATATAATGATGAAATTAATACCCCTCTTGTGACTATTAAATAATAATAATAATAATTATTATTATTATTTATTATTAAAAGATTAATTGCAAGCTTGATAAAAATTTATTAAATAACAATTCCAGTCCACATCATATTGAAAGATTATGAGTCAATGTCAATAGGTAATAGCCAATAGGTACCTATATACAATACAACGTCAAAATAGGTACATTTTAGTGGATTATTGTAAATATTTTACCAAACAAAACGAATTTTAATAACATAATAACGCTAAAAAAATTTCTTATTTTTACAACCTTTCATAATTCCACACTTAACTTTTAWGATATTGTTTCAATGACTTATATAGTTTCAATTTCCAAGGTTAAACATCTTTATTTTCTCACGAAATTCATGGACCGAAACGCCAAGTTGGACAAGATTTATTTATTGCAGTAGGTACAATGATTATTTAAAAGTAAAAAATAAAAACGTAGCTAACTTATTTCTGATAAACAATAACGCAACAATATAAATGGATTTCAATATTGCATAAATTGATAAATGTACTAATTAATTTTTAAATAATTGCAGCCTGCAAAAAATTATTAAGTTTAAAAACCAATCCTATATGGTTTATTAAAAAATTCAATAACTTAAACGAAAATATAAATGAATAATATAAAAATCAGACCGTTGCATACATTTTCCGTTACTATGATATTGAAATATTGCTCATAATTTATAAGTTATTTTTTATAATATAGATCAGTAAAAATAATTTTATCTCTGATAGTTAAATATTTTTAAATATAATTATGTTGACAATTATGTTTTATGTCCCGACGTCACTTGTCACTTTCTGTATTTAATAATAAAGGTGATGGTCTGATTTTATATAAATACTTAAATGATAATAATGTCGATTACAAATTAATAAATGATCACCTAAGAAAGAAAATTAGTTATGAATTAAAAGTATTAAAAATGTACACCTATTTGAATATAAAGAAATTTGCTTAGTCACCGTGGCAATAATAATTGCGGAACAATAAGTTATTACTTACACGATTAATCAGCTTAATAGCTGGAAAAAAACTGATGAGTTTATATTTTAGAATAATATAATAGGTTACCTCTGGTACCTACATRATATTACTGATGTTTAAATCTCAAATGATATCAACATAGTCCAACACAATCATTACCGAGAAATACGAACATGCATATATCATCTGTACTTACGCGCTGCTATTTAATTCTAAAGACACACTATCTGGGTTTCACAATTTTTTACAGACATGGAAWCGGAAAAACAATGACAATTTTGATGAAAACAAACTATAATAATTGCATAATATATAACACAATATATGCAAAACGAAGAACATATTTAATTATATTGATGTAATAATATTAGAAATATTATAAACGTAACGTCTGCATCTCTCCAGTCAGAGTTAGACTATACCTCGGTATAATATATATATATCACAACATCGGTCAGTCTACTCAAACGAGTTTTATCAGACGACTGAAAGAATTTTAGAATCGCGGATAGATCGAAACACTTTAAAAGTAGATATATAAATATAATATGTATAAAACAATATTACGGTAAAAATAAAAATAAAATTATTCGCATGTCGGAGTAAAAATCTCGGTTCACGATGGACCCGCGGCCCTACCGGTTGTACTAACCATAGTACCCACACATATTATATTATTAGGTACATATTACAATCGAACAATTCGAACTGGTTGCGAATTGTACACGCATCGGCGTCACAAACGCGGAAACGACAACACGTAATATCGTTTCAAATGGTTTCGAGTAAAAAATAATGATGTAAAAAAAAGTATAGGTACTGTTTCCCGTAATAATGAATAAAACAAAAAATATCGTCGTCRACTGGCCATTGGTATAATATTGTGATGCCCACCGTATGACGTCGTCCGGAACTCGGCCGCGGCGCAGGAGTGTCAAGGTCGACACACATCCTGTATAATATAAAATTATTATCACGATGGACGATCGGATGTACACTCCGGTGGATGGGAGACCGCCACCGCAGATATATATAATGACCACCGTATGTGACGTCGCAGTGAAAATGTTTGGTGTTTTTTCGTGCTTATTTTACTCCACCCACCCCAACTTGACTCACCAACATCATCGGCGCATTCGCTTTCGCCAGTAGGTATAGTTATTTTGGCATTCGAATAGAGTGGTACCCGACCCCGTTCACCGGTCACTGATGCGGTGTATGTACAATGTACATAATGATAATATATATAAACATAAAAACAATCGAACGTCATACTTGTTAGTTCAGTTAGTTGCTGTGGTTCACCGGCCCACTAAACACACAGGGTGGACGTAAATACTTAGTGTGTATGTGATATTACGGATATAACGTGTATAACTAGGGGATACATACATAATATTTTTATTTACAGGACATACATTTAGGTACTATCACAACTATAATATAGTTAATATTTTCAAAARCTTTTTGATACTATTCTGTATAATAAATTGTCGGATAACACATTCGAAATAGATACAATATTTTATAATACGTATATAAGTTTTAAAAGTTTATTTTTCCGTTAGTGCATTCACCATTCACATAGGGATATAAAATACACTATTAAGAGGATTTTGGACAATATGATGGGAACGAGAGACGCACATGCACATGCACGTCATATACTGCAGTATGTATATATTATATATATATACAAACTGCAGAGCATAACGCATAAGTGAATAGRAACATAGGAAKAATCGACATACCTATACCACGGTAATAGTTTACATTACGAACACAACCGGGACCAACGATCAGTAAATAGGACCGGCAATCGACGACGACGACCGAGCGCTGGTTCTTATGGATTTCCCACGGCCTTCAAAGAAATCTAGTGCCAGCATACACGGCAAACGAGATATAAAGTGTCGTTAACACAACCTCAGTGGGTATATTACACGTCATGTATATATGCGTATTATATTGTTATCGCGTGTATAAAATATGATCTGCCTAAATGATGTAAGTTTGTCGACGGCGTTCCAGACAAACATAATAAATRAAAACTATTTTATATGCGCCGCCGGCGGGGACGATGCCCGAAATGTATTGTATAGTGTTATAACATAATAACATACGATCGGGGATAACAATGACCACGACATGATGACGGCGAAAATTGGTTTTCAAAACGAAATTCAACTATTTTTATTGTCGCCGTTTGGTCATTTCGCGTCGATCGCGGTTGTTTTTATATAATAGTAAGCTAGGTGTCCGGCCTTTTTATAATAATATTATGTGGGTATCTAATGCCATTGATTAAATAGTAAATACTAGTATTTATAATCAATGCTATTACCTATTTATATTGCGGACATCGCAATGTTACAGACACAACGACACTAAAACATCAACAAGCTGTTCATCGGCGACAAATTATTTTGATCGAGAGGCCCATGAACTTATTATTATAATTTATAAGTGCATTTTTCAAATTAACTAGCAATAGACTTTCTCAAAAAGTCGTGACGACTTATAACAGTATGTACTGCCCACTTGTTCGACGTATACACAATACACACATTAAAGTTAGGACGGACCACGGACGTGATGAGCTATGGCAATTAAAATCTACACGACTACACTGCATCTACACGACTACACTGCATCTACACGACTACACTGCGACTTGCATTTATCTTATCTCAATCTATAAAATTCAATCTTAGATTTGATTTAATTACTTAATGACGGTATAATAGAGTATAATATTTATAAAATCCTGCTCTGATGGGAAAAATGTTTTCGACAAAAACACATTGCTAAACTTATAATAGTTATAACACAACAAAATAATATTATTCAATTATATCTTATTTCACAACATTATTATACACTTTAAGACGTTTTAAAAATACATTTCAATACACTATAAGATTACTCCAAGCCTTGCGATTAAATTGGCGCCGGTAAAATTTAATTAACTTTATTTTGTTATTCACTTTAACCCAGAAGATAATTGAGTAATAAATATTAATTTTCACGTTGAATTCCTACTAAGACWAATTTCGGTAAAAATAAATAAATATTTTAAACTCAACTAATTTGAGTTATCGAGATAATTAATAGATTGATTTAAATTAAAATTGATTAATACTAAATAGTTTATTTTCAATAAACTCACCGGCTTCAGATTTTGAAGACGATGACAGTGATTCAGCGCCATTGATTCGCATATTAGAGACTTGTTTGAAACTATGATTTTATCTGATTCGATAASTTCATTTTGTTAATCTGAAAAAAATAATACCAATTAAAATTAACACGAAAAATGATTTATAAAAACTTTAAATAAAAATATATCACAAATGAATTAAACTAACATTCGTTCACAATAAAATATTCAGTTAAGGATGCAATTTTCTAGATACAATGGAATATACTAAATTTTGTGTTTATAAACTATCAATTTTTCAATTGGGTGAAAATTTCTCTAAGTATAGGACACATTAAAATAAAATAAAATACATGTATATGTATATTAGAAATAAGTATTTTTTATAATAGACTTAAATCTAAATAGTTTGACTTCTTACTAATAAATAATAAAAATTATGGAAAAAAACATTTTATTTATCCACCTATTTTAATGCAATAACAATTTTCAATATAAACCGCTATCATGATATTCATCGATAATATAATATAAAATATATACATTAATAATTCATAACAAGTTATATGTTGCACTAGAAATGTAAATAGTATAAAACAAATGTTTTTAATATGAAATAACTTCAGTGTAATTATTACATACAACTCACAGATAAGTTTGAAAATACTTAATTTGTATTTTTATGCTAGTCATACCTCAATCCTTATAACAAGACGTCCTCAATTTTCATTTACCTATATAAAATACAACTATTTTCAGTTACAAAACAGCTATTAAAATCATGTCGACCAAAAATAACGTACAGGTTTTTCTAGTTATGGATTATAGGCACTATCCATCTAAATAATGATATATTGATATCGCGGTAATACTCGTATTAATACAAATAATAATCGATAAAAATGATTGTAAAACAAAAATATAATATTAAGTTTATCTAAACGGCCWGACTTGCATTAATATGGTTAGGAATCTTTACAATAATTGTTAGTTAATTAGAATAACTCATGGTCATATTATACATTTATACATTATACAATATGCCAATATATTATTTAATTTTAAATAAATATATGCATTTCTAATATAAATTATAATTATTCCAAAAGATTGCATATAAATTCGAAAAATACAAAATCAAATGCAACATGATAGATCACAGTGATGACTTCATAAAAAAAATATTTAATTGGTATATTAAAACATACTATTGTATTTGTACGCACCCGGAAGTAAATTAAGTAGGAATTCTTGCGTGATCAATATTCCAATGGGCTCGATACAGAACGACTTATGTACAATTGTACAAGCATGTGGAGTGACCCACATAATGAAATAARTTATGTAGAGAATAAAAAAAGGTGTGTTTAGTAAGTTTGAATAAAAAAATCTTCATAGTAAAATGTTAATTAATATATTTTATAAAATATTTTTATTTTAAGCAATAGTTCTATAACTGATTGCATTTAAACACAGTCTTTAACAAATCGATAATGTTAAGGTCGACATCCATTACTGCATTTATGTGGTAGCAGCAAACATATTTTAATATTTGAAAGTCACTACGTATAAGATATTTAGAAATATAAACTAACTTGAGCCATTAAACATCCGTCTGCATAGAATCGACATTATAAAGCTGATTGAAAGGAAAACAAAAGCTGAATAAACACGAACCACCAGTGCGGTTTATACAAACAAACAAAAAATAACACTCCATATAAATGCATTTTTTTACTTTCACTATATAGATCCGGTGTTCACTTCATCAAACTATGTGTGTGTGTGTGTGTGTGTGTGTGTGTTGTGTATTATTGTATTCTTATCTTCATATTCATATAGGAATATGTTCATTATTTAAAATTTAAATACTTAAAAGGTTATTATGTAAATGTAAAATATGGTTTATTTATTTATGCAAAAGAAAAAAAGGAACTGGAAATAATAGCCTAATCAAAAACCTTAAAATCCAATCAAAATTTAATCCCTAACATGCATCGTTGATAAAAAAAAACTTGAACTATCAAAGAACATTTTTTTTTTAAAAATAATAACTTACAATTATTCCTTCAATTGTATTACATTTATATACATTCCACAATGTAAAAAAATTATCAGTACATCCGCTAAATTTTTTTCGAAAAACCAAGACCTGTATTGATTGATGGCAATATATTGAAACCAAGATGACTACATAAATTATTTAACTTCTTATTTAAAATAATGATTCATGACCCTCCATAGAAGAAAAACCAACTACAAAAACATAGCCTATAAAATAAATCCTACTAAATATTTTAATTAAACTAATGTAGTTTAGTAAATATAAATTTTCTTGATATGCTAAAAAATTATTACTAATGCAATTTGATTTACAACTTAATTTTAAAATAAACTAACAAGTAATAAAATTACTAATAACTATAGTTGTTGAAGCCTTAAGAAAATGATTTTTAAAAAAGGTACAGGAATTTAAATAAAAAGTAATCAAACAACTAATAATAATAGCTGTAATTGAAAAAAATTACCACTGACTACCTACCGAGTTATTAATAATAATTATTTAATGACTTGAACGTAGGTAGTCGGCAATATTTCAATAATTATTCAATCACACACCGCGTTGTGTTTTTTTTTATATCAAGAAAATAATAACTTACGYAATATTCAGAATGTATGTCAAAAATAATGAAAAGCGATTTCATGCTTAGTGAAGCTAAGAAAAAAACACCTGAATGAAAATCTTGTCTGCAGTTTAATAACATTAATGTAGGTACATGCACAATATATGAAGTAATATGAAAATTGTAAATTATATGGTAGCAATGCATCTTAGTATACCACATATAAAGCAATTTTATACAGAAATTAATTTAATTGCTCGATAAAATAATTAGGCAACAATAATATTATGGTTTAATATTTAAATCGATTTATAATAATTAAATATAGATACGTATAGATAAATCCACGATTATCTAATCGAAATTCAAATGCAACTATTTTAATTATTTTACACAAATAAATTTTTCTTCAAATATAAATAATTTATGCAATGGTGGTAAATTATGAATTCATTCAATAGAATTACCATTAATTATTAATTTCTAATGGTGGTAAATTATGAATACCTAATATTAAAATACCTTGTAATTTAAAATTAAATTAAATTTATAAATATCTTATACTATTTAAACAAAATATTTAAATGTAGTAAACACTCCACTTAATTACTTACTTCACATAAATATTTTATCAATACTAATATACAAGTATTTTAATAAATATGTATACTGTAGTGATCTAATAAAAAGGGTTAAAATACAAGTGTATAAATTCATATTTATTACGAATAACCAGCTTTAAATTTTTTATATATGAATAATTTTCGATACCTACTAAAATAATAAAGTATTTGACACTTGTGATCATATTTTTCTAYCTTTGAAMCTAAAATAAGTAATACAAATATACAATTAAATMTGTTTTCATTTGATTCTTAATTCCCGGCATGTTTAATATAGATTATAAATAATATAAAATAAATACATRATTGACAAAAAATAACAAGTTCTAATAAAATCATAATCTTTTGAAAAAGTTGTTAATACAAGTATATTGATCATATTTTTTGTACTTCAAAGTTAAGTATATTATTGTGTGATTGTGGGACGTTGGAATTTTGAGAGGTCTGAAACGTATAATTTATCATTGTAAAAATATTTAAACATTACTTCATAAAACACATTTACCAACTTACCATAAAGATCAACAAAAATCTTTTTTATTTAATTTACATAATGTCAAATGGAATGTTTTTTTTACTTCGCCACTCAAACCAAATCAAAATATAGTAGATATCTATGTAAACAATATCATTTGTTATAGTACTAAAATATATATTTAGGTACCTAATATTGACATACAACTGGAGTAGGTAGGTATAGAAAGAATGTTCAACTAACAAGAAATACTGTAAACACTCGACTGTAAACCTAGATTGCAAAAAATATGCTGACTGATTTTCAGCTGTGTAACTTGCAAAAACAATTTTTTTAGTATACTTAATACCTAGTCATTCTATAGAGATATTAATAAGATCCCTTGACAAAAAACAACCATGTCTCAATTTTTCTTTCAATCCAACAACAACTGCTACCCGATTTAACCCGTTACACTAAGCTTCAAAAGTGGAAACAGTTCAGAACAGAACTTCACAAAACAATGTCATTTGAAAATTACACAGCCAAAAACATTTTGTTTGTTGTAAACGGTTACAGAGCAATCGTATAATGATCAGGAGAATATATTAATGGATCACAGTGGAATCTCAATAGTCTATAACGTAGATTTCAATACCGTTATTAAAACGAAAGACAAGACATGACTTCTAAATTATAAATATTCAATCCTAAATATCCATATAATATGACTAGATTTAGTTATAGCTAGGAAATTTTAAACTATTATACACAGTAGAAGATAATTCACCCTTAAAATATATTTTTACTGTACAATAAATGGCAATTATGTTATACATTTTATTTTATCTCAAATATGGTTTTGAGCAAATATAACGTACTAAACTTGACTTGTCGATAGTTACTAATTTACGATATTTACTACCTAAACTCGTATTCATAATCATGTCTTGGAAATACATACCTACAACCATTGAATTCTATAAGCATACTTCTATACATAAACTCATTTCTCAGTCATCTTAAAGATACAACATACAACCATCCTAAATATAGGTACATGGGTTATTACTTACTTACATACTTCATTAGTAAATTATTCATGTATAATATATATTATGATAAAACTCAAAAAGTAGATATACTCTTTCTAATTAACATAACCAATTCACTAACTTAACTAACATAACACACTTCTAAATCACACAAAACAAAATTATGAATAATTTACAGCTGAACAACTTAAAAATGACGAGTAGGATATTTAGATACCTACTGTCCAATTGGCTTTACATACAAAATAGATAGTACCTACATAAACATAACGCATAATAATATAAACATTCATGATTCATACATAACAAATAGGCAACTGCAGATTGTCGTTTTAGTCGACTTCTATACGACAAAACTCTCCA